AACCAAACAGAACCATTTGGAGAAGGGACCATTCTGGGATTTGGACACAGCTCGTCTAATTTGTCCTCCGCACCCTGTCCGTTTTACAGGGGAGGACCCTGAAGCTCGGAGAAGTCAAACAAATAAGCCAACCCAGGGCATTTGCCGAGTGTCTCTGCCAGGGCACCTCCACAGTCTGGAGCCACTCAGACCACATGGATGTTGTATACGCACAACTCTGCTGATAGGGTGCAGAGGGAGGTGTGGGCCAGATCTGCACCCAGCCTGAGACTTCCCAGGGATGCCCTGGGGATCTGCCCAGCATGTTCCATGGGGCGATGGAACCTTGACTGGGAATCTTCATGTACCAACTATTTCCCCCTCTCACTGACCTCAGGAGGAGAGAGAATCAAACACAGGGGGGTGAAGGCAAAAGGAGCTCTGGGTCCCAGACACAAGCCATCAGTATGCAAGCAGCTCCCCTCTGGGAAACCCATCACTCATTCGTGTCCTAACCTTCCCACCTGCCCAGGTCACAGGCAACACGGCCAGTGCACACACCTCGTCTTCATTCTTTAAAAACGGCTGCTGTGTGTGGCCTTTTGCACTCATTCCCAGCTTTCCAGTATGGAGCCCTGACTCTGGGTCCCCTGGAGGAAGAAGTGCCGTCCTGTCAGGAGGGTGCTAGTAAAGTACAGCATACTTTAGGGAGGTGGGGAGGGTGCTGACAGCTGAGGGTCCTGAGCACCTGACCTGGGCTTTTAAGTTATAGAAAGCCATATGGCAGACAATGCTGAGAAACGGGAGAGGGGAGGAAAAACCATTCTAGAACTTTCTGTCTGTGGCCCTGCTCTAAAGCCAACACCTAGCCCCACCCTCACTCCAACCTGCCCTACTACACCAGGCCCACCATGATGCTCTGGGCCCACCAGATATCCCAGGTTAGGGTTTTTTGTTGTTGTTGTTGTTATTCTTGCTTGTTTTTTAAACTGAGATAGTCTCATGTAACCCAGGCTGGCCTCAAGCTTGTTACGTAGCTGAGAACGATCCTCCAGAGTGCTGGGAATCATAGGTATGAGATGTCACTCAAAGATGGACTAACTCCTTAATCCTTAAACTGAACTTCCCAGAAAAAAAAAGCCACACCTTGGTTAAACATTCTACACTGCTGGTTAGCTGATCAGACTTTCAGGGATTGTGGAGAGTTGGAATGCTTCCGGTCCAGGGCCCAATTACCTTGGGCTATTTCAGTCCTCTAAATAACCATGTGTTGCCCACTTGGACTGACTATTTGGAATGTGCAGACCCTTAGGCTTCTACCAACCCCAAAGTTAAGGCTCCCATCAGGCATCTGAAGCCTAGGGCAGGTCCCCCCACTTTGCTGTAACCCACCTCTCTGATGTTCCCACCAGTGGATTTGAAAGGCCTCTTGATTTATGGCTTTGTTCTGCACTATAAAGTCTTCATGAAACTGTTGCCACCCGAACGTGGTATTTGGGGTGATCCGGATCTGTGTTCCTGGGGCTGTGGTCACACATGTTTGGCTCCAGAATAAACCATCCCCCGCTCCCTTTGAGGTGAGAGCTGTGTTTTGCATCCACACCCACTGTAGGGACTTCGAAGCTCACCTCCAGGTCTGGGGAGCAGGCAGTTGCAGGGCCACCGTGGTGGAGAGTGGGGCTGTGGAGTCGCCAGTCAGTCCACAAGCTCACTTTGCTCTTCCCACCTGTGGCTTCTGAACCGAGGTTTCTCTGTGTAAAATGCTGACCCCCAGGACACCTGCTTTGCAGGGGTGCTGTGACACTGAGTGCGATAACTAGTAGAGTGTAATACCTTCCACTAACCTCCGGAGCCGTGGGGACTGCAGCGCTCACGGGGCCTTGGCGCCATCTTGTGGTTCTTCTCTGTCACAACAACCTGATGACTTTCAGAAGCGTCTTAGGCCAGCTGCGCCCTTCAGGTCCCATTCAATTTCTGGCTGGGAGCAGTTTTGAGCAAGCACTTTCCCCACTGCAGAGTCCGCCCCCTCCCTCCCCCTCTCCCAAGCATCAGCCCCCCTCCACCCCCTCCACCCGGTCCTCTTACTCCAGTCTTCTAACGCAGCCCGCCATGCTCCCGTTCCGGCTTCCCTGCGCTCCAGAGCACTGACCGCTGGTGGCTCGGTGGCCTTCTCCCCTTGGCAAGGTAAAGGCAGACTTCCCAAAGTCGTGCTGTCAGCACTTGTCCCGTTCCGGCTTCACTGCGCTCCAGAGCACTGACAGCTGGTGGCTCGGTGGCCTTTTCCCCTTGGCAAGGTAAAGGCAGACTTCCCAAAGTCGTGCTGTCAGCACTTGAAGGAGTGCTGGCTCACAGTGCCTTTTGAAGGAGTGCTGGCTCACAGTGCCTTTTGAAGGAGTGCTGGCTCACAGTGCCTCGCTGACTGAGGGGTGAAGGGAAGGGAGGTGGAGTCAGGTGGAGACCCGGCGCCAGAGACTTCAAAATAAAGTGGAAACTAGACTTGCGGGTAGGAAAGGCTTTTTTAATCCTTATTTTCATGTGTATGAGTGTATGCATGTGTGTAAGAGCACCCGTGTTGTGCAGTGCCTGCGGATGTCAGAAGAGGTTGTTGGAGCGCCTGGAACTGGAGTTATGGACAATTGTTAGCCACCACATGTGGGTCCTCCTCCAGAGCAGTCAGTGCTCTTAACCGCTGAGCCATCTCCTCCAGCCCCAGGAAAGGCATTTCCTTTTCTTTTTCCTTTTTTGTCTTTTTTTGAGACAGGGCCCCCCAGCTGGCCTGGAACTCACTATGTAGACCAGGCTGGCCTGGAACTCACAGAGATCCACCTGCCTCTGCCTCCCAAGTGCTGAGACTAAAGGCATGTGCCATCACACCCAGTTTAAATGGTTGTGTGTGCTAGTTGGTTTTTTGTTGTTGTTGTTGTTTTGTTGTTGTTGTTGTTTTGGTCTTTTTTGTTATCTTGTCCTGTCTTCCCCCTGCCCCCAAGCGCTGAGGAACAAACCCAGGGCCTCTACCAACTGAGCTAGATCCCCAGTCCCACATCCTACTTTTTGAGCAAGCTGTTCATTCTGGACTGGGCTTTGCAGATGACACACAGGCAAGGAGTTGGACTCAACATTACGTCAAAACGGCCTGTGAGGATTAATCTCTGTGTCTGGCTAATAGGATCACTTGCTGCTGACAGAACTATATTACCAACTGTGTAATAAATCTACATCCTTGAAGGAGTATTTCCTCACTTCTTAACCTTCTATAACCAGGTCTATATTACACCAACACAATTAGCAATGCCAGGAAAACGCTGCATAAAAAATATGATGGGTGATGGATATGCTGGGTGTGGTGGTACACGCCTCTAATCCCAGCAGAAGCAGGCAGATCTCTGTGAGTTCAAAGCCAGCCTGGTCAACATACATAGTTTGAAGTCAGCCTGGTCTACATAGTGAGTTCCAGGCCAGCTGGGGCTACAGGGAGACCCTGTCTCAAAAAATACAAAAGATGGGTAGGGCAAAATTTGTTCATCTTTTTTTATTTTTATGTGTGTGTATGTGTGTTGTGCCTGCACATGTGTAAGTGCATCCATATCATGTGGTGTCCACAGACTGAGGGTGTCAGATCCCCTGGAACTGGAGTTACAGATGGTTGTTAGCTGCCATGTGGGTACTGGGATTTGAACCCAGGTCTTCTGCAAAAAGTCAGTGCTCTTAATGCTGAGCCATCTCTCCAGTGCACTAACTCATATTTAAACTAGACATGATTTTGTTTCTTTTTAAATCTGGGTTGGGGAGAGGCTCAGTGGATACTTACTAGGCAAGCACTGAGGATCAGAGTTCAGATCCCCAGAACCCATGCGAAAGCTGGGCAGGCATGGCAGCTGCTGTAATTCCAGTACTCAAAACACAGAGATGAGGGGTACCTGGGGCTGGACTAGCTGGAATTAGCAAGATCTGGGTTCAGCAAGAGACCCTACCTCAACAAATAAAGTGGATTGAGGAAGACACCCAATTGTTAACTTTCAGCCTCCACAAACGTGTCTACACATGCACAAACGCCAGGCGCACACATACACACTTATACACATACACACACACACACACAGAGTTCATCAAAATTCAAAATAAGTTTCCTACAGGGATGGCAATACTGGTGGGTCTCAGCACAAGCCAGGCTTCTCAAGCGCCTGTTGGTGGTGGCTGTGCTGCACGTTGTCAAATACTGAGCACCACTGGACTCCACGCATGGGACACACCAGCACCCTCACAACTTTCAAAGATGTCTCCAAACACTGCCCAGTGTCCTCTGGGGAGCAGACTCCTTCCGTGGAGGGCCACTGGCTTCCATGGATCAGTAAGAAGGGGTTAGTGCCACTTCAGCCCAGCCCTGCAGCCCAGTACTCCAGCCCGCTACCACAGCCCATCAGCAGTTCTGCCCGAGCATCAGATCCAAGTTCTTCATTCCCATAACACCTATAGTCACAAACACACTCCTCCAATTGAGAGACATTAAATACAGGAGAACGGTCATTTTATGTCATGGCAAAAGAATAAAAACAAAAGAACACAGACCTTCTAGGCTGGGAAGACGCTCAGTCAAACATGCTCTCGATGAAGACCTGATTTCCAACCCAGAACGCACATAACAAAAGCTAGATGTGGTGGCCCATGACTGTTATCCTGACACTGGGGAGTGAGACAGGACGCTGCTCCCTGGGACTCGCTGGCCAGCCACAAATGGTGAGCTCCAGGCTAATGAGAGATGGTTTCAAAGCACAAGCCGGATGGCTCCTGATCAAGGACACCTAAGGTTGTCCTCTGGGTACCACACACACACACACACACGAACACATCCATCCAAAGAATACAGACATCACAATGATCTATTTCCAAAGGCAATAGATTTACACTACCCTGGAATTTTTATAAATAAGATGACTTCGTATTAATAAACAATTTATATCCAATTAGTTTTTTTTCTAAGTTCAAGAACATTTAAAATCTCATACTTTTTATATACACAGGATTTTATTTTGTATTGCTATACCAATTTCATTACAGACCAAAGGAGAAGAGGAGGCAAAAGTGCCACACCCAGTTCCTAGTTTCCAACAGGCTTTCCTACCTGGAAGACTGTCCTGTTCCATTCAGGACAGACAGGAGACCCTGTTTTAACAGTCACCACTAAAAGACACATTTCTAGTCACTGCACATCAAGGTGGAGGAACTGTCCCACATGAAAAATACATGCAGAAAAAGGGGCAGATCAAAGTCGTCACGACACCTCAATGCGGGCCTCGTTTGTGGAGCCAGGTGCATGTGATTCCTGTCTGCCTTTCCCACGAGTTTTACTGGGTTTCCACCTAATGGTGTTCATCAAGGCAAACAAATCCTTCTCTGAAAAGGTCTCAATAGAAACAAACAGCAAGCTTTTGGCACAAAGAGGGCACCATCAGTAACATATACCAGGCACAGCTTTTTGTTGGACTAGTGACAAGATAATCATTTTGGTTAGTGATGTGTCCAAGCACTGCTCTGTAGTCCTGAGCACCAATGGCAGAGAACTTGGAAGGGTTTGCCCCACCAAGTTATGAAATTATATAGACAGAATATAATACAGAACTTCAAAATCTAAGGACTTTGGCATTTAATAATGAGACAAATGGCATTAAAACTGCTTCTGCCCTTCCCCTCACCCTGCTGGGTTTTTCCCAATAGCAGTTTTTAGGGCAAACGGATCCTTTTCTGAAACCTTTAGGAAATTGTAAATAAAGAGCCAACTTCTGCACCGAAGGAGGTTAACACATACACAGCCTTTAGTAATGCGCGAGATGTACACTGTTCTTTTCTGAAGCAGTCTTAAGGGACATGTGGATAAACAGCAAAGCAATCCGGCTTTTCCTGGTAGCCTTGGAAACAGACCAACCTTCTGAAGACAGTTCTCTAACAGTAAACCCTAGGTGATCTCGCGTACATGATTCGGAATATGAAGATTTGTAGCATCTCAGACCAACCAGCTTGTACTTAACGGCAAAATACTCTAAAAAAGTCATCAAGTAACTTTAAATAGATGAACGGATCCCAGAGTCCTTGAGGGACAACAAACCATTTATTCAAAGTTACACAACAATTGGAAGGGTAACAGCTTCCTAGGACATGAAGGCATTTCTGACCGCTTCCTGTCCCAGCTGAGCATGAGGAGAGTGGCCGGGGCAGCTCCCCTGGGCTCAGCACAGCCTCCTGCGGCCTCATCCTCCCTCCCCTAGTGGCCAGCATGCTCTGCATTGACAACAGCATGCTGAGGGCCAATTACAATGGCACTGGCCTAATTATTAATGTCAGACTCCTGCTTGGACGTCTCCCTAAGTTTCTTCCACATGTTAAGCAATGCCTGCATTCACTGGACGGAATCTCGGAAGTGTCCCTGAAGGTAAGTGCATGTTCGTCTGGAAAACTGTCACCTTTCACTTGGCTCCTGGATTCTAAATTCAGTAGCACTGACCACACCCGAGCTGGAATGCTGGGTAGATTCTTTTGACCAGGCTGTCAGGTGGGTGGCTGGGTCTCTCCCCGTAATAGCTCACTCATGTAAAGCTGCACCTGTGTAACAAGGCCCTGCGGCAGAGTGCAAGGCCTAGAGTTTCATCTGCTTCCCGTCAACTACAAGTGAGGTCATATGCCACCTAAAATCTCATCGGGAAACTGCAGGGACAGCAGGCCGTACCAACGGCTGGTGGTCGACCCTGAGAATTCACTGAAGACACGGGAGTATGCCCGGCCGTGGCCGACAACAGGTGCTGGGCACACAGCCTGTCCTGCCACTCAGACCTATAGTTCAAAACTAGATGTGACAGATGCAGGCACGCCATGCAGCTGTTTAAACCTCCCAGTGAGTCCTCATCCTGGGTAAACAACCTCCCCGAACATTATTTTCTCCTAAGGTCTACAGCGTCCCAGCTCATTCCCAGTAGTATCACGCACAGGACGAAAGCCCAATCAACCAGCAGTGTGAGCTCTCTATAAAGGATTATCAGGAGGAAAAGAAATGTGTCCATCTGGTACAGTTGTTACTGATAAAGGAAAAAAGCAATTCCAGTGTTATGCTGACAGTACAAAATGGTGCAGCTCAGGAATCAAGGATGTAGAACCACAGCAGCTGGGTTCAGTCAGGTTGGCGGTATCCAGTGCCACCCAGCTCTGAGTCTCCTGGCCTAGCGCATGCCCAGGATCTGCCTGCTCTTTAGCTGGTAGCTCTTTTCAATGTCTGACAGGGCTTGAGCGCGCAACTGGGCAGCATGGAGCCTCTTCTTCAGGTCCTTGCACCTGGACTTGGGGCCAGGCTGGCTCTCGGAGCTCTCACTCCTTAAGGCGTTCTCTTTGCTCTCGCCACCACGGAAGTGAACCTTCTTCTTGGTCATCGAGGATGGGAAGTCAAGAAGTTCTTTAGAAAGAAAGAGAAAAGCCCTGAGCAAGAGTTCAACTCCCACATGCTTATCGACCGGTATCTGTCCCTTTCAGCTGGCACATGAATCCAGACCTGTATGGTCTTCTCTGCTATACCGGGAAGGTCAAGGGCACCGGCCTGGCAGAAATTGACCAGGTTTGTCTTTTTAAGGTTTATTTTTAATTATATGTCAAATATCAAGGAACAAATGTTTTGTCCCTTTAACAATCAATTTTTCTCTTAAGGTTAAATGCACTAGGGCTGATGGACCACAACACAACACTCTGGAAACCAGAGTTACTTATCCCTATTCCTGAAAACCAGTGACAGGACACATCGCTTCAGAACAGGAAGCAGCAGCTTCCTTACAGACACCTGCAGTGCCGGTTTGCGCTCAGGAACACATTGCAAAGCCAGCCTAAGCAATTGCAACGTGAACACGGCAAGCGACCGTGAACCTGAGGCACACGTTTCACATGTAACAAAACCCACACTTACGGTGACATCATCACTAACTGACAGAATTAGTGGGGATTAGAGCCTCGCAGGTTTCAATTCCAGAATTGTCTTTAAATTTTCTTTTGTGTGCATTTAAAGGAAGTATGTTTAAATATCTATTGAGTTCGTACTGTGGGCCACTATGAGCCAAAGACGCTTTTCTAGTAGAAGACAGGCCACAAACACTAAGTGCAGATGGGGATCTCAGAGTGGTGTGTGCCGAGGAGACAACAGAGATGGAGAACCAGCCAAGCAGTGCTTGTAGAGACAAGAACCTGAGAAGTCAATTCCGAGCAGACCGTGGAGGATGAAGGAAGCTCTCTGGATGAAGGGCAGGAGGAAGCTGGCTCCCAGGAGCACCCTCACCTCCTCCACTGTGTTTCAGAGCACAGGTGTCTCAGCAGACCTTAACTCTACTGTCTAAAACATACCTGCTGCCTTCCATCACCGTAAAACCCCCACAGTGTTCCATCAACATTATCTTTCTAGTGGGACAGTTGGGTCAGAAAAAAAAGGTGTTTAGAAAAAGAATAGTATTTCATTCAATAGAAGACAAGGGATGCCTCGGTGACCAGACAGGGAAGCTTGAGAAAAGATATGGCTACAGGACTGGCTTCCCAGTTCTAAACTTCAGTCTGGGGAGGGAGGGAGAGGGGTGGAGAACACCTTCAATGTCCTGGGCTCTTGCTCACACCTGCCCTGCCCCCACTGCTTTTCTCACACTGTGGCTCTAACATACTCATCCTATAATGCTCAGTGCTCTAAGTCTGAGCCAGTGTACACTGTGGCTGGCTTTAAACACTCACTCTGATTTACATCTATCATCCCCTGGCGTGAAACCCAATGTCCTCACCCAACTGCTCTAATCCTTTGTTCAAAGTCTATCAGGATGAAATGAGATGTCAACACACCCTAGGCTGAAAAGCCATCCCAAATGGTCCCCACCGTTCTCTGGAGTTTGAGGCATGAAATACACACAGGAAACTTATCCCCTTGCATCATCAACTTGATCAGGGTTCAGATCTGTTCTGTCTTTATGGAACTCAGTGTGGAATCTGAACAATGCTGAGTTAAAAGTCCTGAAGGAGAATCATTACAAGTTCCAGACCAGCCAGGAGTCAGGTGTGGTGGCATATACCTTCAATTCCAGTACTTGGGAGGCAGAGGCAAGCAGATCTTCGTGAGTTTCAGGACAGCCAGTGCACACTGAGTATCTGCAGGGTACCCTGTCTCACATAAACAAATAAGAAAAAATAAAACAAAAACAACAACAAACCCTAAAATGGCACAGTGATATTTAGAACAAAGTGTCTTAACAGTCTCAGCCCCCACCACTCTCACTACAATGCTACTGTGTATTTTTGGAAGGTGGAAAGGCAGCCTTCACTGCTCCACACAGGGAAAGTCACTCACTCTGGAGAGCTGGGAGAGTGGCCCACACCTCCAATCCCAATGCTTGGGAGGCTGAGGCAGGAGTACAGTGAGTAAGCTTGAACTGTATCCAGGCCAGCCTGGGCATCAGAGGAAAATCTGATTTCCAAAAACATAAAAGAAAAATAATTATGGGAAATTCAAATCTCCACTTTGTTCTGGTTTAGTTTTTTTTGAGACAGGATCTCCCTGTAGCCCCAGCTGACCTGGAACTATGTAGCTCAGGCTGGCCTGGATCTCACAGAGATCCACCTGCCTCTGCCTCCCCAGTGCTGGGACTAAAGGTGTGGGCCACACTTGGCTAACTATGTCTAATAAGGTGGTGACTAACATCTCAGGTCTCAGAACCCAGGAAATAAATCACTGCGCCTACAGAATCTCATTTCCACCAAAGTGCATATAGTCAGTAAAGGTCACCTGAAGACTGGAAACTGTAAAATAAGAGCTAGCACAGCCCCTCTGAGGGCCACCCTGGGGTGCACGGCATCCACCACCACCCACAGCAGCCTGCACAGAGCCCAGCCTCATACCTGGGCTGCTTGCCAGAGACAGGAACTTCTGCTCCTTCAGCAGGCTATAGCTCTTCACCAGACTCTCGGCTCTCGCCAGTTTGTCTTCGGCTAGTCTCTCTCGCATACAAAGTTCACGTTCCTTCTCTTCAAACGGGAAGGGAAACAGACAATGAACAGGGAATTCTGGCTCTGACGATCCCCTTTCTTATCACTCCTCTAGCAAGCCTGGCCATCTATGAATGACACTCTGCCCGAGGCTCCCCACCAGGCAGCTCGGCTGTGCTGGGTTTTAACTAGCTAGGTTAGCTGATGTTTCCTCCTAAGAACGTGTTGACGCACCAGGACAAAGTGTATTCGAGAAACTCATTTGAGATTCCTGCTCCCCACAAAAGACAGGTTAATAGTCAATTCTCAGGGAGTCTCCTTGCCTCACAGCACAGCTCCTCCTGATTCTGTGATAACATCCATGAAGGGGGGCACAGGAGGGAACAACCACAACACAAGGGGCAGGGGTTTTCTATATTGTGCTGGTTTTGCTTGCTTTGAGAAACGGTCTCCCTGTATAGACCAGGCTGGCGAGTGAGCACAGGCCACCACATCTAACACACAGGGTATTTTCAGTTTAGCCACAAAGCCCATTTGTCATGGCCCAGAACTCAGTGACCAGATTTCAGTTGCTGTATGAAATTACAAAACACCAGGAAGGCAGGCGTGGTGGCACACGCATTTAGTCCCAGCACTCGGGAGGCAGAGGCAGGTGGATCTCTGTGATTTAGTCCCAGCACTCGGGAGGCAGAGGTAGGTCGATCTCTGTGAGTTTAAGTCCAGCCTGGTCTACACAGTGAGTTCTAGGCCAGCTGGGGCTACAGAGAGACTGTCTCAAAAAGATCCCCCCCAAAAAACAAAAAAAAAAAACAAAAAAACCTACCAGGAAACGTGTTAAGAAAACACATTAAGAAGTGCACTGAGCACTTCCCCAGCGTCATGATATCAGCTCCCTTACACCAGGAGTCAGGGCCGCACCAAACCCATCAATGCTCTCCACATCTACTCAAACAAGACAGCAAGGGCTGGTTAAGAGCACTGGCTACTGGCTGCTCCTTCAGAGGACCTGAGTTTGATTCCCAGCACCCGCTAGCAATCATCCATAACTCCAGTTCCAAGGGGTCCAACACCGACTTCTGCCTTCTGTGGGCACTGCATGAGTTAGGATGACACACATGCAAGCAAAACTCTCATAAAATTTAAAACAAACAGAAATCAAATAGAAATGTAAAAGGCCGGGTGCAGTGGTGCACACCTTTAATCCCAGCACCCGGGAGGCAAAGCCAGGCAGATCTCTGTGAGATGAGGCCAGCCTGGTCTTCACAGTCGAGTTCCAGGCCAGCTGGAGCTACAGGGAGACCCCGTCTCAAGAAAAGGAACAGAAGGTTCTACCGGCCTGTGTGTATAAGCTTCTGTTCAGGCACAGCCACGCGCCTGCGCCCCCGGCTGGAGCCGACTTACGCTCCAGACTCTCCTCTCGGGCTCTGAGCGCTCGCTCTCGCTCCTGCAGCTGCCTTTCCTTTAGCCTGAGCTCACTCAGCACAGGACTGCAGTCCGGCAGCTTTGCAGGCTCGCCTGAGCGCCTCCCTCTCCTCTCAAGATTTCTCTTTTGCTCTTCTGCAACCAAGTCTGCAATCAAAGCATTCTCAAGAATTTCTTCCACTGAAGGTCGATGGTAATCCTGGGGAAAATCATGTGCATTCTGATTACAAAACAGAGCATCTGTCTTTTCGGGATGGCATTTAAAAAATATCTTATTATTTTTATTTTATGTGTATGTATGTACTGCCTGCATGTAGGTAAGTGCACCCATGTCGTGCAGTGCCCTCAGAGGTCAGAAGAGGCTGTTGGATCCCCTGGGACTGAGGTTACAGACAGTTGTTAGCTACCACGTGGGTGTTGGGATTCAAACTCAGGTCTTCTGCAAGAACAGTCAGTGTTCTTAACCACTGAGCCATCTCCCTAGCCCCAGAGCATCTGTCTTAAGAAAAACAGTTATAGGGCTAGAGAGATGGCTCAGTGGTTAAGAGCACTGGCTGTTCTTGCAGAAGACCTGGGTTTGAATCCCAGCACCCACATGACAGTTAACAATTGACCATAACTCCAGTTCCAGGGGATCTGATGCCTCTTCTATCCTCCTCTGGCACTGTGAGACACGGGTACACTTAGACACATGCAGGTGTAACACACACATAAAGATATAAGTCAGGTGTAACACACACATAAAAAATAAGCCAGATGTGGTGGCCCACACCTTTAGTCCCAGCACTCGGGAGGAAGAGGCAGACAGATCTCTGTGACTTTGAGGCCAGCCTGGTCTACATAGTGAGTTCCAGGCCAGCTGGAGCTATAGGGAGACCCTGTCTCAAAAAGACCAAAAAAAAAAAATTAAAATTAAAAAAAAAATTGTTTTTAAAGCAGTTCCATTAGAAGGCTGAGTACGTCCCTTATACAAGCTCACTGGCAGCAAGGTCTGTCTCCCCCTCCTCATCCATCCCCTCCTTGCCTGCATGTAAGCGCACGTGTACGCAGTACCCTCAGAGCCCAGAAGAGGGCATTTGATCTCTTGGAACTGGAGTTACAGATGGTTGCTAGCTGCCATGTGGGTGCTGGGAACTGAACTCAGGGCCTCTGCAAGAGCAGCCAGTGAGTGGTCTTAACCACTGAGCCATCGCTCCAGCCCTTATTCCACCTGTCTACAGAACTGGCTGTGTCCCTGTGCGATGCTCACTCGCTTGCCAGGCGCTTGTAGCCCTGCTGGAGTCTGCTTTGGGAAGTGCCACTCTTGCTTCCCTGAAGCGTTGAGGAGGACACCCTCTTCCCAACCTCCAGTCCTACACTTCCCCCGGATCCACCGCAGCCCCACAGCATCTCCTCTCTGCTCTTCCCTTAGCAGACAACAGACACTCTGCCTCCCCACCAGCTAGCGTTTGCTCAGAAAACCTTTTTTGGATTTTTTTCCCTCTCCTCTGTCTGCTCCTCCTTCCCCCTCATTCTGGTCTCTAATCTCTTGGCTAGAGCTGGAAGGAAAGTAATAAGGTCCCATTTGTGGCTGTGTTTCCAGTCTTTCCTTGCCGCTGACCATCTGTTAGGGTGGCAGATGGTTAAGGAAACCAGAAGGCAGGCTGGCTGGCGAGGAGGAGCCTTGACCTGTGCTCACGTGGATTTGGCTAAGGGGACTGACAACATTTCTTGAGTCTCCTTCAGCCTATGAAAAAGAACATGTACTCCAAAGTTTAACTGAGAGATTAAAACAGACAGTGCACAACCTTGAAAACTTTACCTTTAAATTCAACATCCTCGTAATGATGTCATTCAATTCGTCAGAGTAACGGTACGGGATTCGCCTGAATTTACCGTCTCGAATTTTCCCAGCTAATTCTTTTTGGTTAAAAGCTGTAAATGGAGGCCTGGGATTTTTTTTAAAAAAGGAAAAGGGGAAAAAAAGAGGGAAGAAAGAAGAGGAAGGGAAGGAGGGGAAGGGAAGGAGGGGGAAAGAGAAATGGTTTTAAACATCTAACGGTGAACGCATGTGACAGACACCAAAACAAGCGGTTAGGTTCCACTTTGAACGTCATGTTTGGCTGCTGAGCTGTGACCTGGGGGCTGCCCACACATCCCAGGACACTCCGCAGCACCCTGGCTTCCACCCTCTAGACACCTGGACACAGAAATGTCTCCTGACAATGCCAGTCACCACCCCAGAGAACCACAGATCTTCAGAATAGTTTAGTAGGGAGGAAATGGAAGGAAGAGGGTTAAGACTGGAGCTCTTGTTCGGATCCCAGAGCTTCCCTGAATCCCTGCTTTATTCTGCTTGGTCTTTACAGTAACTTTACACCTGCCTGACCTACGAAGTCTGCCTTGAGCTACAGTCAGTTTCCCCAGGAGCACTGAGACCCCAGAGTTCCATTCTTAATTTGTAAACACTGGGTTTTTTCTTAAACTGTCCTAACTTAATTCCAACAATTTTTTAAATTCCTTCAGAGTCAGAAAGCAGAGTCCAGTGACAGGTGACCACAGTATAAGCCCAGCCCAGGCTTCAGCCTTTGTCCCACTCACATTAATGCACACAGCTCATATAGCAGGCAGCCCAGCGACCAGATGTCCGACTTCTCATTATAGGACATTCGGCTCATCTGTTCCTAGAGCAGGAGGCAAGAAAGAACAAAGGAGGTGAAAGCTTAGTTTGTTTTAAGACTTAAAAAAATCAGGCCGGGCATGGTGGCACACACCTTTAACCCCAGCACTTGGGAGGCGGAGGCAGGTGGATCTCTGTGCCAGCCTGGTCTACATAGTGAGTTCTAGGACAGCTGGGGCTACAGTGAGACCCTGTCTCAAAAAAGATTAAAAAACAAAACAAAAACTTAAATCTGGCAGAGTACAGTGGCACACATCTTTAATTCCAGCATTCAAGAGGCAGAGGGAGAGACAGAGCTGTGAGACCAAGGCCTGTTCTACACAGCAAGTTCCAGGTAGCGGGGCTACAGGGAAACTGTCTCGACAAGGCAACAACAACAACCTGAGGGCTGGGGATACAACTCGGCTGGCAGAGCACTTAACTGGGTCACAAAACCCTGGGTCAGATCCAGGTACCACATAAATAAGGCGTGGTAGCTCAGGCCTGTAATTCCAGAAGATCAGCAATTCAAGTTCATCCTTAGATATATATTAAGTTCTAGGGCGCAAACATTACATGAGATACTGGCAATACTGTCTCAAAATAAATAATGAGCTTAAAATAGGGGCTAAGAGCACTGACTGCTCTTGCAGAAGGCCAGGTAGGATTCCCAGCACCCACACAGAGGCTAACAACTATCCGTAACTCCAGTTCCAGGGGTTCTGATGTCCTCTTCTGGCGTCTGCAGGCACTACACGTGGTACACTTACATGCAGGCAAACACACACACACATGCACATGCGCGCAGCGGGGCAGTGGTGGCTGGAAAGCGCAGCAGCAAGAGCAGCAGGACTCCAGTTTGGTCCCCAGAACCCACATCAGGCAGCTCACAACCAGCACCCACATCAGGCAGTTCACAATGGCCTGTAACAACTCGGGGGATCGGAGGCCCTCTTCTGGCCTCCACAGGCACCAGACACACATACACATCAATAAAAGTATTTTTTTTAATATTTCATTTTTATTTTATGAGTGTATTGCCTACATGTATGTGAGTGCACCCGTGTCGTGCAATGCCACGGAGGTCAGAAGAGGGCTACGGATTTCCCTGGAACTGGAGTTAAGGACGGTTAGCAGTCGCCATGCGGGTGCTGGGAATTGAACCTGGGTCCTCTGCAAGAGCAGTCAGTGCTCTTAACTGCTGAGCCATCTCTCCAGCCAAGTAAAAGTATTTTTTAAATCAAAATAATGAATGAATCAGAGGAAACTCCAGAGTAATCAAAATATGCACTTAACTCTCATCTCAACAGATACAGGCACAAATATCTAACTCAATTAAACAATTAAATTTAAAAATTAATTCATTTTTGTTTTCTTTCTTGGTCTGCTGGTATAAACCCCACAGTGACTAGCACCCTGACCCCTCTGCCTGCCTTCCCCAGGCCAACCCTGCTGCAGCTGCTCTCAGCAGGCTTCCAGATAAGTGTCAAAATCTCTTATCTAGGAGGCTGTCGGTGCCCCTCTAGCAGGTGAGGCTGACGGGGCACCTCTGGACAGCTACCACCTTAGGGAAACTGAACCCCTCTAATTACTAGGGCAGGTGGGGGAGGAACAAAAGAATCGCACAGGTGTTAATTTTTCCAACTCACTTCTCAGTAATTTTCCTTTGGTTAAAGGCTTTCTATTTGGAATATGATACTGTGAGAAACAGCATTGTTCTGACTTTGTTCAGACACAGAATCACAAACCTGCTGTTCTATCCCACTGCCACATCTATTAGCATTGCTTAGAAGCCTCTGGAAAATCCTAAAAATGTTTTTGAACTACAAAGAGGTGAGTCAGCCATCTGTCCATCCTTGCTCAGATTGCATAGCTCACACATCCGAGCTTCCGTCCCTTGTAGACTGAAGCTCGTGCTCTTCTTTAGGTCTTTCTGAGACAGGGTCTCCTTGTAGCCCCCAGCTGGCCTGGAACTTACAGAGATCTGCCTGCCTCTGCCTCCCGAGTGCTGGAACTAAAGGTGTGTGCCACCATGTGCAGCTACACTGAAGCTCTTTAAAAGCCATCAGACAGGGGCTGAGAGATGGTTCAGTGGTTAAGAACACTGTTGTTCTTGCAGAAGACCCAGGTTCAAATCCCAGGACCCACATGGCAGCTAACAACTGTCCCTAACTGTAGTCCCAGGGGATCCGACAGCCTCTTCTGACCTCCTCGGGCACTGCATGACATGGATGCACTTACCTTCATGCAGGCAATACACGCACACACATAAAATAAAAATAATAAATATTTTTTGAAAAATAATAAAATTAGGGCTGGGTGTGGTGGCGCACACCTTTAATCCCAGCACTCAGGAGGCAGAGGCAAGCAGATCTCTGTGAGTTCAAGGCCAGCCTGGTCTACATATACTGAGCCATCCTCCAGTCCATGCTTAAATCTGCATTAAAACCATTTGACAAAAAAAAAAAAAAAAAACAAAAAAACTCATTTCATCTTTGTAATCCTAGCCCTTAGCACATGGTAGTCATTAAAAACATAAAGGGCTCAGCGGTAGAGTGCCTGCCTCACATGCATAAGGTCCTAAATTCAATCCTCAGTGCTGAGAGGGGAAAAAGAGGAGAGAACATAAATGTAAAATGAACAGTATTAGGAATTCTAGGCTACTGGATTTCCTAACAAAGCAATCCAAACCTCGGTTTCTTTGACATCAGACCCTGAGGGGCCTCTCAGTTCTGAGTACTCACAGGAGACATGTAATACGGAGTCCCTACAAACGTTCTGGCAAAACTCGTATCGTGGCTTAATATCCTGGCGAGCCCGAAGTCTCCGAGCTTGACGTTCTGCTTGCCGTCTAGGAAGACATTGGCTGGCTTCAGATCCCGATGTAATACAATGTGACCACCATCACTTCGTCTGTGACATTCTTTCAGGGCCAGCGTCAACTGAGTCATCACTCGAAGGACAAAGTCTTCATCTAAGTATTGTCTGAAACAGAAGCAATTAGACAGCAAAAACTCCTGAATAAAAACAGTTCAAATGTGGGATAAGGTTAATTTTTTTTTTTTTTTTTTTTTTGCCTTTTTGAGACAGGGTCTCCTTGTAGCCCCAGCTGGCCTGGAACTTGCAATGTTTAAACCAGGCTGGCCTCGAGCTCACAGAGATCTACCTGCTACTGCCTCCCCAACTGCTGGAACTGAAGGCCTGTGCCACCATGCAAGCTAAGGCTAAATTTCTTTTTTTTTTAAAATATTTCATTTATTATTATTTTATTTTATGTGTAGGAGTGTACTGCCTATGTGTATTTAAGTGCACCCGTGTCGTGCCAATGCCTGCGGAAGACAAAAGAGGCTGTCAGATCCCCTGGAACTGGAGTTACAGACAGTTGTTAGCTGCCATGTGGGTGCTGGGATTCGAACCCAGGTCCTCTGCAAGAACAGTCAGAGTTCTTAACTGCCGAGCCATCTCTCCAGCCCCCTAAATTTCTTTTAAGTGCACAAATATGGAAATAAATTATCAGATATGAAACATGGATGCTGATTCACTGGTAATTTTCTACCGCACCATGGACTCACCAAACCAATACAACACTCCACCACATCACAAAGGACTGTTCGTTCCCAACAGGACGTGTGTAACAGCAACAAGCCTCGCTCCACCTGCAGCCTATAGGCAAAGGGTCACATTTACCTCTCCTTGGTCCCTTTTGTGATGACACTGGCCAGGTCCCCTCCTTCACAGTATTCCATTACAATGTACAGGGTTGTGCTGGTTCTGTCAATAATCCGATCGTAGTAACGGACGATGTTTGGATGTTTCAGTTCACGGAGCAAATTCACTTCAGAAACAAGCATCTGTTTCTCTGCTTCTGTCATGGAGCCATAGTCGAGCTCTTTCCAAACCAAGATCTGAATGGGATCGTTTCCAAGACAGGAGAGTTGATTATCTGCCCCCATTTCAACATGTCTTATAGAATTAGGTCATCCTGGCGCTGATACTGTCCGTCTGACAGGATCTATCACCTAGGAGGCAAACTCTGGCTATGTCTGAGCGGGTTTCTAGACTGGGTTAACCTCTGAATGTAGGTAAGGCCATTCCCTGCGTTGCAGTTCTGGACTGCATAGACAGACTCATGTCTGCTTCCCGACCACTGGTGCAACATGACCAGCTGCCACGGCCCCCCACGCCATGGCTTCCCGGCTTGACGGCCTGTGCCCATCGCTTTCCCGCACCCTCAGGCTCTGAGCCAAAGCAAACCCTTCCCTTCCTAAGTGGCTCCTGTCAGGTATTTTGGTGCAGGAACAAAGAGAAGTTACTAACAGTCATGACCGTGTAATCCGGCTCGGTCCTCCTGGGGTGCCCCGAGTCTACTGAATAATCTTCAACGCTCAGGACTCACTAGGTCTCAGCATCCCGGCCACCAGCTGCCGGATGGGAAACTGACACAGGCACTCGGTGCGGGGGGCGGGGCCCAGTGTAGACACATGCCTGGCCTCGGACCCCGCCCCCGGCCCCGGCCCCCCGCATCCCACAGGCGGCCTCCTCCGCACGCCTCTCCCGGCACAGGTCTAATCCGGATTGCACCGGGTTCAGGGCCCCGATCACCTTGCCGTCGCTCTTCCTCCGGATCTTCTGGCAGCGGCCGTAGGAGCCCGTACCGATGCTGTGGAGCACCTCGTAGTCCTCCACGCGGGACGGCATGGCGGCACCCCTCAATGAACCGCGCCGCCGCGCCTGGGTTCAGCCCGCTGCGGGTTAACCGCGGGTCAAGAGCGCCGCCGGATAACCGCGGGTCAACGCGCTGCGGGTTAACCGCGGGTCAAGAGCGCCGCCGGATAACCGCGGGTCAACGCGCTGCGGGTTAACCGCGGGTCAAGAGCGCCGCCGGATAACCGCGGGTCAACGCGCTGCGGGTTAACCGCGGGTCAAGAGCGCAGCCGGATAACCGCGGGTCAACGCGCTGCGGGTTAACCGCGCCGTCCGAGCTGGGCTCAACCCCCGCCGGGTAACCGCGCCGCCCGTTAACCCCGAGCTGCGACCCCGCCGGGTTAACCGCGCCGGCCGACCCTGCTCCACCGCTGGCCGGGTCAACCGTCGCGGGCCCGCAGCCTGGCTGTCTATTGGCGGCGGGCGAAGGCGCCTTTTAGCTCTGATTGGCTAAGAAAACACAACACCCCTAAGCATCCTGGGAAAACGGGTGTCGCTAGGCAACCGCGGCGGCCGGCGTCGACTTCCGCGTTGAGTGTGTCTCAGGCGGTCAGGCCCTGCCGTACTAATTGCTTTTTTCCCGATATTTTATTTATTGTTTTTATTTTATGTGTGTGAGTGTATGCGTGTATGTGTGTAAGCGCACTGCATGTGTGTAAGTGCACTGCACGTGTGTAAGCGCACTGCATGTGTGTAAGCGCACTGCATGTGTGTAAGCGCACTGCACGTGTGTAAGCGCACTGCACGTGTGTAAGCGCACTGCATGTGTGTAAGTGCACTGCACGTGTTTGAGTGCCCTACAGTGTGTAAGCGCAATGCACTGTGTAAGTACACTGCATATGTGTAAGCGCACTGCACGCATGTAAGTGCACCTGAGTCGTGCAGTACCCAGGGAGGGCAGAAGAAGGCTTGAATCCCCAGGAAATGGGGTTCTGGACGGTGGTTAGCCATGTGGGTGCTGGGAATTGAACCCGGGACCTCTGCAAGAGCAGCCAGTACTCTCAATGCACTGTGTAAGTACACTGCATATGTGTAAGCGCACTGCACGCATGTAAGTGCACCTGAGTCGTGCAGTACCCAGGGAGGGCAGAAGAAGGCTTGAATCCCCAGGAAATGGGGTTCTGGACGGTGGTTAGCCATGTGGGTGCTGGGAATTGAACCCGGGACCTCTGCAAGAGCAGCCAGTACTCTAACCGCTGAGCCACCTCTCCAGCCCTGTACTAAGCACTTTTATCTTCTCTTGCACAACCTATAATGCAAGATTCCTGTTACTTCCCTTGAGGACGTGGAAACTCAAGTTAAATCATTTGTTTGGCCTGATGGATAAGGTAGATATGCACAGAAAGGGTGCAAAGTCTACACGTGATCTCTGGGTTGTTACCACAGACTGGATTTCTAAACATTACATTGGAGACCTGTTCCACTACAGGTGTTCAAAGCCCTGGGGTAAGCTTTGGAAGCATCCAGAATTCAGCGGTGGCAGAGAGACAAGTTTTACCTTAGCACATCTACAGAAAACATCTTAGAAAACTTCCACATAATTTCTCTGGGATGCTGAACATAATTAACTGACATCGCTGATCACAGCTCGGAGGAAGGCAGCCTTCCCAGCTCACCCCGGGAAACAATCCCACTTTGACCTAGGAAAGAGGCTCTAAAGGCCTCCCATCCAGGGCTGTCAGGATAATTTGTGTTACCAGAAAGTTAAGAATGTGGTAATCTGTAAATAGGTCATTTCTTAAAATATTTGTTCATCCTGGGATTGAAAAGGACCTGGCGTCCCACTAATAAGAACGACAAGCCTTACATTACAACTAATTGATTGCATGCACTGAATAAGATAATTGGAACTGTCAGCCAGGAGAATATTTAAATGAACTTCAAGGGCGTTGTCTTACCTCAAAGGCGCATTGCAGGATCAACTTAGACCTCAGAATTTATATAAGGAGCTACAAGTGCCTAAGGACATTGACATCCTGCATGTGAGTGTGCGTGTGTGCGTGTGTGTGTGTGAACACTCTTACGACTGGTGTTCATACAGCTCAATGGCTGGCAGGCTTCAAACTGCCCTGCACCCCTCCTTCGGACACGCTCTGCTCTTTCTCAGCTCCTCCCCCACCGTGGCACTGGTTACACCATTTGTCCAGAACTCCATTTGTTCACTCCCACTCTGTGATGGTTACTGTCGATTGTCAATTTGACAGAATCTAGGAGATAAGCCTCTGAGCACACCAGGGGATTCTCCAGATTAGTTGAACCCCGGGCCTCGCCTATGAAGAATGATTATAAAGCCTAAAAGTGGGCAGCACCATGCTTGGGTCCTGGAGTGCTCCCAGAAGCCATCTGGGGAAGAAGTCACTCATCTCTCTGCATCCTCACTGCTGATGCAGTGTGACCTGTATCGGACACCTCATGTCTGAGTTCCAACTTTGTCACCTCTGCTCTAAGGAGCCTCTGAGCATACTTGAACTGCCAATTCCTCCACCCACAGAGTTCACAGACTGCTGCGCACATAAATCCCAGCTGAACCTCACGGTGTTTGTAGCCAACACAAATCCTAGAACACGAGGCATGAAGAAACACAGCGCTGCTAATGAAAACCCCAGAAGGCCCATTACTAAGAATTATGCAGAGATTTGAGGTGACATTCCCAAGCATCCCCAGCTCTGAGACAGAGCCTGCTTATCCCGGATAAGCCATCCTGGGAGCATGAAGAAAGGTCCTAGGCATTTGTGTTCATCCAACCAATATTACGAGCACTTACTACAAGCCAGGTTATAAAGATAGGCACTTCTATTAAGAAAAAGATGGTGGGGCTAGAGAGATGGCTCAGCAATTAAGAGCAAAGGACCTGGGTTCAATCCCAGCACCCACATGGTGGCTAACAACCATCTGTTGTTTCAGGGGATCTGACGCCCTCTTTTCTCCTCTGGGGGCATTACACAACATGGGTGCACTTACATACATGCAGGTGTTATAGGTCGGAGTTCACAAAAAAAATCAGCAGCACAACTTTAAGAAAAGTAGCAAGGTAAATGCTTATTATTTTGACCCACTGGGCTATCTCAGGAGTAGACGCAGTCCTGATCATTGTCAGGTCAGAGTTTTTATAGGATTACAGAAATATTATTCAAACAGGACACTTGTGAACCAATCAGGTTTGTACAACATAGCAGAACTTTGACTCTACTAATCAACAAACAATCATTATACAGACAAGTGATACAGTCATATAACTTGGCAGTCAACTTTGTAATTTTAAAATTAGTCAACTTCCTAGCCATAACAAGTAAAGTAAGAAAGCTGAAATCAGCAGTTACCAGTGGTCAGACAGTAACAGGGTGGGCTTATGTTCTGTGTCAAGGTGACCTAAAATAGCAAGCAAAAACAAGCAGTTAGCCAGATGTAGCATGTCTGAGATTAGCACATTCCACTGGTTTGTGATTGAGCTATTTCTTAGAACTCAAGGCTGTTGTCTCTTTTTAAATATTTTCCATAAGTAAAAAGAGGTTACTGTTAAAATAACTATTCTGAGCAAGATGGAACAACTTAGGTTAAGTTGCTAATATAGCTCAGCTGGCACTTACATATATGCAGGCAATACACTCATACACATAAAAACAATAAATATTTTTTAAAAAAAAAGAATAGTTGGGGCTGGAAAGATGGCTCAGCAGTTAAGAACATTGGTTGTTCTTGCAGAAGACCCGGGTTCAAATCCCAGCATCCACATGGCAGCTAACAATTGTTCGTAACTCCAGTTCCAGGGGCTCCAACAGCCTCTTCTGTCTTCCACGGGCCTTGCACGACACGGGTGCACTTACCTACATGCAGGCAATACACGCATACACATAAAATTTAAAAAATTTAAAAAAAAGAATAGTTAAGCCGGGAGTGGTAGTGCACGCCTTTAATCCCAGCACTCAGGAGGTGGATCTCGGTGAGTTCGAGGCCAGCCTGGTCTCCATAGTGAATCCAGGACAGCTGGGCTACAGGGAGACCCTGTCTCAAAAAGACCCCCCCCCAAAAAAAAAGAATAATTGAAGCCGGGCATGGTGGTATACACCTTTTATCATCCAAGCACTAGGGAGGCAGAGGCAGGTGGAGCTCTTTGAATTCAAGGCCAGCCTGGTCTACACAGCAGTTCCAACTGGGGATACAGAGAGACCCTGACTCAAAAAGACCAAAAAAAAAGAAAAGTACTGAGCATCTCATCTTCACCATGTCCAAAATCAAGCTCATGATTTTTGCCCTTAAGTTTGTTCCACTCTCTGTCTCTTTCACCTGAACTAACAATGTGTGTTTGGGGTTGGTTGGGTTCACCAAGGGATCCCCAGGGCCTAAAACACAGCAGGCTTCCAGGAGTGTTTGCACTCCTAACTGGCTGAATGAAGCCTCTGGGTTCTCAGCTTCCTGCTTAATGTGACAGTGAAGGCCCACTAGAGGGCTGTCCTCACCGCATTGTAACCAGCCACCTGCAGGAACAAGACTTGTGAACAAGTCTCTCCAAGGCTACTTGGGGCAGTTTGAAATTGGGGATTATGGAAATGCTTTAAAGTGATTGGTAAAGATTTCTAGCAAGAATAATAAAACAATATCAGGGACCACCATAGAAGAGGGGGAAGAAAAAATTGTAAGAGCCAGGGAGGAGGTGCATGACCGTACGCAAACAGTCCTGCAGGCTCCAGGACTCTTCGCATACAAACTTACAGCAATGGTGCCAGCATGCACAAGACCCATCCAAACTCAAGCAGACAAAAACCCAGCAGAACTGTGGAAATGGACAGCAGGCCCCAATCTTACTCAAAGAATTATTGGCAGCTGATTTGATTACTGCTGGCTGAGGAAGAGCTGATCTTTTTCTGTTGTTGTTGTTGTTGTTGGTCTTTCTGAGACAGGGTCCCCGGCTGGACTGGAACTCACTATGTAGACCGGGCAGGCTTTGAACTCTCAGAGATCCGCCTGCCTCTGCCTCCCAAGTGCTGGGACTACAGGTATGCACCACCACACCTGGCTCAGAGCTGATCTTTTTTTTTTTTTAATATTTTATTTATTATTTTTATTTTATGTGTATGAGTGCATGTAGGTAGGTACACCTATGTCATGCAAAGCCCACAGAGGTCAGAAGAGGGCATCAGCTGGGCGTGGTGGTGCATGCCTTTGATCCCAGCACTTGCGAAGCAGAGGCAAGCCGTGTGGGTACTGGGATTTGAACCCAGGTCTTCTGCAAGAATATTCAGTGTTCTTAACTGCTGAGCCATCTCTCCAGCCCCGAACTGATCTTCTTAAAGGAGGGACTCTAGATAGACTGACTAGATCCCGGTAGATGAACTTGCACTGAAGGATGTCAGGGGACACTAACTTGACTCAATAGGCCTTAACATAAATGACAGAATGCATGAACTCCAGTGTGTATGTGGGGGGCGGGGTCTATTGAAGGGGGCCAATGGGGAAGGAGGTATAGAGATGATTAAGATGTTCTGTATGAAATACACAAAAAATTCAATAATTTTTTTAAAGAAAGAAAAATAAAACAATAGAGCCTTTTTTCATAACAACAGAAAACTAAAAGGATGCTTGAGCCAAGTGCAGGTCTGCAACTCTGGAGGCTGAGGCAGCATGACTATGAGTTCAAGGCCAGCCTGGACGACATTGTGTCTCCAAAAATAAACCTGCACAACATAGCATATGCTCAGTAAATAACTTGAGGAGAGAGTGATAGATGTAAGACAGACGGGCCTTGGTAATGACAATGACCGGATGCAGACAGGGCAGCTCTGAATTTAGTAACAGACTGCCGTGGAGGACTGTGATTTAAAGAAGAACATTAATCAGGGATGATAAGGCCTGCTAGGGTCTAAATAGTGTCCCCCCCCACCCCCCATGTTGATCCTAACTCCTGGGTAAAGGTGTTAAGAAGTAAGGCCTTTGGAAAGATTAGAACTCTCTCATGGTCAGAGTTAGTGTCCTTATAAAGGAGCTGGAGGGGTTTATTGGCTCCTTGCATCATGTGAGGACAGATTAATGAACAGGCCCTCACCTTGATCTTCGATTTCCTGGCTGTGTACAAAGAGCAATAAATTTCCATTATTTATCAATTACCTGGTCTTCAGTGTCCCAAACAGGGCACAACAACAGCCTTTAATGTGTTTATGAGGCACTTCAGGAGCTCTCAGGAACACCCCTAACTCCAGGAGGGGGCTGTCTCAAACTGGATAAGCAGTGGGCTGGAAGCCTGGGAATCCGGGCGCACCTACCTCTGTCTTCATGAGCTATGTGGCTTGGGGACCCCAGCTCTGGGCTCTGTAAAATAAAAGCATTAAGTTAGAAGACCCTAAATGTGCCTCCCAGCTTCAAGTGCTGCGTGGCTCTGTGTCCTCTAGTGGAAAACCCTCTAGAGCTGCTAGCAGAGCCAGAGCACCGGGGTGCTTGTGCCCTCGGTCTGTAGTGACCATGTCCGCATTAGCTCCTCCCTTGTCCCTCTCTTCTGTGCACTGGGATAAACACAGTGATAGGTACTGGAGAAGGAAGGGTAGAACCCAGCCCTTGACCTAGAAGGGAAGATGAGGCAGGGCTCAGTCAGCTTTCTCTGTCTACTGTGATAACGACCCTGAGAAAACTTAGAATAAAATGTCTAGGACACCCAATGGAGAGGAGCCAGACTTTAATAGGATGGCAGGTGTTGGAGTTGGGCAAATGTTCCTGGGGAGGTGATGCCTGACTACTCCTGAAGGAGAAATGGGGATTGGGAGAAGGGACTGTGGGTGGAAGCATGGAGGACTGCCTACGTGTTGGGCAGTTGAGCTGATGGGTGCATAGGACTTGCCACTATTATTTATCTGTTATTTATCAATTACCTCATCTTTGCAGTCCCAGGGGAAGCAGCAGAATATGAACAGGTATGTTTTTCCAGAAAGACTGCTCTTAGAGAGGAATTTGGGTTGCAGAACTACAGTAGGGCAACCCAGAGGGGTATGGTGCCAATGAGTGAAGGGACCACTCAGGTAATGAAGAGGAGATGGGTCCAGAGAAGCTTGAGAGGCCGATCAGCTGTGGCATGGTACATGGGTAAACAGAAAGACAAGTCCTGGTTTAAGTGACCAGACAGATGGTGGTGGCCTTTAGCACAGGAGGAATAGCAGAGCTGAGCCCAAGGGCATATGGGAAGTTGGCCCATTGCAGCTGGATACAAGTCCTCAGTTTCGTGTTCTGGACTGAGACAGAACCGGAAGATGACAGGAGCCAGGTGTGCAGGTGGATGAACATGTCCTGCCGGTGGCAGGGTGGACAGGAGCCGGGAAGGGAGCCCAGAGGTTGTTCTGGACAGGAGGAGGAAGAAAAGGCAGTGAAGGAGACCAAGGGGGGGTGGACAGGGGCAGAGCACATGGAGTAATGTGCAGCCCAGGTTCCCAGGGAAGAGGACCTTGGGTATAGAGGGGCCAGATGCAGAAGCAAGAGCAAATCAGGAAGACAGACATCCCAGCACTGGACCCTTCATTCGGAGAGCATAGCAAGCTCCCCAAGTGCATTTCCACGTGGACTCAGGCAGCAGGCAGCTACAGGGGTAGCAACGGGTCAGATGGTGAGGGAGGGCTGCTGCAGGGTGTGGACATCCTGGACTGCTGTCTGGGGCAGCCGTATAACCTGTCTCCCAGGGCACTGACTTGCAGATGGTGATTTTATGTTATGTGCTTGTATGTGTCACCCCACGGGGCTGCACACACCTCCCCATATCCAGTGACTGCTGATCTGGGTAGGGCCAGGTGACTGGGGAGAGGAAGGGAAGAGCAGTATGTGCTGAGTGTGCTGAGGGTGTGATGGCTATGGCTCAGCAGGAGACAGAGCCAAAGACACCAGTGTGGGCAAACCCCACATGGAGTCTTTCTGGAGCTCCCAGCCGCCTCCTGCTGCAGCACCTTGCTATGGACTTGGGCCAGACAGAGGAGCTCAGGGTGGATCCTTTGATGCAGCTTGGCAGGTGCTGTTGCCTTTGGACGGGGAAAACATGCCAGAGCAAGGGCAGGCAGGAAGGCCTGAAGCTACAGCCTTCGGCTTCGAGTCTCAGGCCAGTTCCTCAGCTCTGAGGCCAGGCACTGGTAAGTGTCCCTCCTAACAAAGAAGTCTCATGAATCACACAAGGAAACCAGAGGCATTAAAAACCAGAGGCTTAGTAGATGTTAAACAGTTGACACAGGGTGGTAGGGGGCAGATGCAAACTGATCCAGCCAGAGTCCAGGATCAAGAAAGCTGGTGTAGGCGGCCTGTGGACTTGCAGGTGGAGGGAATTCAAACAAACGAAAACAAACAAATCCCGGAACAACCCAGACTGTAATTTGGGTTCCCTGTTCTCAGTGGTGCTCTGAGGCTGGGCATGTGCTCTCTGAGGGGAGTTCATCCATCCTTGCTGAGCTCTCAGAGCTGGCTTGTTACAGCAGTGTGGCATAGAGACAGCCTGTGGAGACCCAGGACCTCACAGCTGGGTGAGACCACAGGCAGATGCCCCCCTGCAGACTGGGAGAAGCACGCCTACCTCACCCACTCTGGGGGGGCCTGAGGAAGGAGGCACTACAGCTGTCGGGGATTAAAACAGCGCTCTTACTGGGTAAAGTCATGAAGGAAAACGGTATCCCAGACCTTCCCTGCCTGCCAAGGCTCTGCGAGGGGCATTTTACCAGACTCCAGCACGGCTGCCCTGGCACGCATTTCTTAGGCAAACACCCCCCCACCCCCCCCCCCCAGCCCCGGCTTGTCACCTAGCTTCTGCTTTTTCTTGCCCTGGGTGGGTTCTTAAGCCTGAATTGGTATATCTACTCTGTCAGCCCCAGCTCAACAAAACAGGGAGACTGGGGCCAGGCAAGGCATCCTCGGGAGGCTGGAATCTACTTCCCTACTGCGGAGCAGGTGTGAATGCCCCCACAGCACCTTGTGGGCATGCTTGCTCTCACTCTCACACTCTCTCCCCCTACTGACTTCTTGTGCATGTTGGAGGCAGTTGGGGAGCACAGAAGCCCTGCTCCACGTGTCTGCAGACCTAGTTCTTTCCTTCTCTGTCCTCAGGTTTCAGAGCTGGCCTCACTCAGGCCTGAGACACCGTGAGGTGCCCACCTTCTTCCTCTCTTCCTCTTCAGGAAACACCTGGGAGCTTCCTGGAGGGAGACCGCCAGTCTCCATGAATTTCAGACTCTGTCCTTTTTTTCTCCCCAAAGCTGTTTGCTTGTTGGACAATATGAGAAAGGTCAGGTCTCTTCCTCCCAGACTGACACCTGTCACCCAGACCCCTAAGAAATCAGAATGGACCACAGACTAATTTGGGGGAAAGGGCTATTTGTGACCCAAACTGCTCGTTTTATAAAAGCATTTGATACTAAGTAAATGCTGCTCTTCTAAGTGCACCTAAAACTTTATTTCTTCATTTGTTTACTTATTTATTTGACAAGGTCTTGCTGTATAGCCCAGGCTGGCCTCAAACTCACTATGTAGCCTGTCCTCTTGTTCATGATCCCCCCGCCTCAGCCTCCCAGGTTCTGAGATTATAGATGTGTAACAGTACACCAGGCTAAAAACGTGTTTTTCATTAAAAATATATTCTTTGCATTTTTGTTTCTATGGAGGAATTTGTGTATATGGGGACAATATATTTTGAGGAGGTCTTGCTGACTAGCAAACAGAATTGCTCAGGCCCCTGATGGACTGTGGAACAGGAACCTTTTCCTGTCACCCTGAGTAGCCACAGAGGGCTGAAGAAACCAGGGAACTGAGAGCACAGACACCCATGACCTGCAGAGCTGGATGATGGGAGAGGCCGGTTCACACCCCTCCACGGAGACTCTGTGGCTGGAAGTTGCTTTATTCTCATTTTGCAGGAAAGGAAATTCAGGTTCAGGGCCTAAGCCACATGCCTCAGACCCATTCCACATCCAAAACAGCACTGGGGTTCCATGTACCCTAAGATGCCCAGATATCTGCCTCAATAGTATCTAAGAAAGCTCCTACATGGCCCAATCCCCACCCCCACATCTGGGCCACGCAGCCGACAAGCAGATCTCTAAACTGTGAGTCAGGGGATTCTGAGCCCCGAATCGGGTGTGCTCCCCACAGAGGCCGCAGGTATGCACACAGAGAGGAGCGCTGCTGGGGACCAGGGCCATTTTGATATATAGAAGCCGTAACCCCCCTTTAGCCTGGCTTTCAGGTTGAATGTTTTACCACTAAAAAAGGGAAGTCAGACAAAAACCAAACTTGAGGCCCAGCAGGAAGCTGTGCAGGACTCACCTAGAGAAATGGAAACTCTCTACACTGTTCATGATATTTCTGTAAATGTAAAACTCTTCAAAAACAAAGCATTTAGAGGCCGGGTGTGGTGGTACACACCTTTAATACCAGCACTCAAGAGGCAGAGGCAGGCAGATCTCTATGAGTTTGAGGCCAGCCTGGTCTACATAGTGAGTTCCAGGCAAAAAAAAAGAAAGAAAAATAAAGGTCGGATATGGTGGCACAGGCAGGCAGATCTCTGTGAGTTTGAGGCCAGCCTGTTCTACATAGCAAGTTCCAGACCAGGGAGACCGGCTCTCAAAAAAAGCATTTGGGGCTGGAGGTGTAGACCAGTGATAGAGCATATGCCTAGCATGCAAGAGGCCCTGGGCTTAATGCCAAGCACCAAAATTAAACAAATAAGTAAATGAGGGACAAGTGAGGCGGGAGATCCACTGATCTCTAAACTGTGAGCCAAGCACCATGTGGCCTGACACGTCTTCTCAAGTAGCAGCCGCTTGCCTCTCAGAGCTGCCCATGGCTGCCAGTGTGGTTGCAACAACTGGGAAGGCTGCAGGGCTCCTGCCAGGCCGCCTTTCCCATGCAGGCTGAGCTGGAACAGTAATGCTGATGTGGCCACAAGACTTGGGCCAGCCAGGCTCAGAGCCCACAACGGGGCAACAAGCAAGGAGCAAGAGGCTGTCTCAAGTGAAACTTGCTGAGAACAGGCAAATGCAAATACAGGACTGGCTGGTGTTTTGTGTGCATGTATGTAAGTGTACTCATGTGTGCAATGCTCGTGGGGGCCAGAAGAGGGCGTTGTAGCAGCTGGAATTGGAGTTAAGGATAGTTGTTAGCTGCCATGTGGATGCTGGGAACTGAACCCAGGTCTCTGTAAGAGCAGCCAGTGTTCTTAACCACTGAGCATCTCTCCAGCTCTTTATTTTTTTTTAGACAAGATCTCACTGTGTATCCCTAGCTGGCCTGGAACTTTCTATGAAAACCACATTGGTCTCAAACTCACAGAGATCCACCTGCCTCTGCCTCCTGAG